GTAGTACATACAAGAAATTTGAGTATTTTAATATTCTAAATACAAAATTACAACAAGAAAGATATTTCATTTATATTGTATTTCACTTGAGAGTAATAAAAACATTATGAGTTTATGATAAAATAAATGTTCATATATTTTAATTTCAAAAAATTGAAAATATGTAAAATAAATTTAAATATAAGAGAAAATGAATAACAGAGAAACGATATGAGAGAATAAAAAAGTAAATAAATAATTTTAATTATTAAAGCATCATAATTGAATATCAAATGATTGTTAGGAGGCTGAAAGCGTAAAGAGAAATAAGAGATCTTATTTCACCCAAAAAATATTGAACAATCTCACTAAATATGAGAAAATAAAGTGAAAATTTTGAATATATGATTTATTCAAAATGTTACAATTGAGTTCTAAAAGTATAAAAGAAAATTATAATTAATAAAGTGGTGAGTTGTTAAATACAAAAATACAAAAATTATTGATATATAAAAAAGTTTCAAACAAACATATTCATTTTCAAATAAAAACCATCAACATTAAAATGATTGAGCATCACTTCATATTTTCATACAATACAAATAAGATAAAGAATTAATTTCATTTGAATTCAAATCAAATATTAGGTTATATCTAAAGCAAATTGGTTTGTTTGCCAATTATAAATATAAAAATACTAGGTTAATTAAAAAACTCGCGTATCACGCGAGTCATATTCTAGTTTATAAAATCAGGAAGAAAACATAAACTTTTTTTTTGTGTGGTTATTGATTTTAAATTAGAATGATAAAAAAACAAAACAAAAGATAAAAAGATAGATGATAGGAGTTTTTAGCTCTGATATTAAATGTTATAAGATCAGAATCACACCAAACTTATGATCAAACGGTTTCAAAGCCTACAGCTTGAATGGATCGAAGTTCGCCACACAAAGTTGCGGAATGACTTTGTGATAAGAACACAAATCAATGTCTGTGTAAAACACACACAAAGAAAAAGATTCCACTTGCTTTCTAAGGGAACCACACAAAATAGAAAAGACAAGCAAACAAAGTCTAAGCTTCAAATGTGAGAAAAACTCTCTCTTTTATTTTTTCCAAAAATTATATATCTTTACAATGAACGGAGAATGAGCTTATATAGGCTCAAATTACAAATCATCAAATAAATCAACATAAATGCAAAATAAATCAAATTAATTACATAAATCAATCAAGAATTAAGTATAATGAAATATTTATGAATCGACATTAATGGAGATTGATTCCTTGTTTCTAGATACTTTCTTGATATATCCATGAATTGATTGTGTTCTAGAAACTTCTTTGAATTTTGTGTTTGATTTGCATTGAACCATTTGTTGATGAGCCATAGATGTAAACCGTATTTTCGAGACTACATCATCATACAACAAATCCAAGCTAACTAATAATCCCTTCTCCATTAGTTTCAGAGACAAAACCACGGTCTTATAAAGATCTACAAAAATTTAGCCGACATAATCGAAGAACTTCTAGGTAACTATTAGATCTAACTTACCACCAACAACTCTTGGGTTTACACCAGTTGCATTGACAAGAAGAGATACGTCTTTTAGTTCGACAAGTTCTTCACAAAGTTAGCGTGCGAGTTTTTCCCATACAGATATATTAGCGGCCTCACGACTACATATAATCTCAGAAATTACTAATTGTAATATGAATAAAGAGTAAGAAAAATAGTATGAAGAAAGGTATGTTGCTATTTACCTGTCAAAAGTACATGTAAGAGTAATATTTAAGGAAGTCCTAGGAAGAGTTTTTGTCTCGTCCACCTTCTTTGATGTCTGAATGCATGACACTTTTGTAATAACATCTTCAAGTAACAAAGAAGAGGCAAAGTTAGCTTCGCAGAACCGTATTAATTGAGTAAAAAGGTTTTTTCAGTTTCGTACCTGGTAAGTGGTCTCCTTTGTTTACCATCATTTCAAGCTCTGTAAATGGAGGGATACGAAAATACTCATGATGAATGTCATATTGCTCACCATTGACATCTTCCAAAGCGGTATGGTCATTGAAGTAGATTTTGTATGGATTATTAGTTAACCTGTAGCAGTTAAGGTTTGGCTTGACATCAAATGCGGTTATTGAGAAGATGTTCCCCCTCTTTAAGCTTATTCGTGAACTTGTGTAGTCGATGGGGATGGATAGATGCATTCTACACAATAGAAAAATTCAGAGTATATTAGACATGTTTGAAGTACTGTGGTGTAGAAATAATTCGAGTGCAAGTAATTAACTATACCTTCTCGTTGACAAGCAAGCAGTTGACGGACAACAATACATTGCGACTAAAGTTTTTTCATCTATTGCATCAAGGGTTGTGTATGAGAAAAGGGCAATGGCTGAGTCGGTATCATTTGATTTTTTGAATTTGAATGACTTTGGAGGAGAGGATTATGAGAATTTTAAAGGAAAAGATAAATCTGATAGCAAATAAATGGTAATTAACTCCATTCGAATTTAGAATTACGTTTTTGTTTAGTTTTTTAATTGTATAATTTATTCCAAATTTATGGGTTTTAATGTAGGGCATATCCGTAGGGATAAGAATTGATTCCAAATACAACATTTAAAAAATTGAGGAAAAAAATTCTCCTATTAATTATTTCTCAAACAAGTGGTAATTAAGATGAATTCAATTAGAAATTAAATTCCATTACTTGATCTAAGATTCCATCCGAAACAAAAACCGTTTGACAAATTCGTTGTAGAAAAATTTAAAAAACAAAGGACACATGTCAGACATATAGAAGCATACGTAGCAACCCTTCAGAGATTTGGTTAAAATAAACTTTAAAATATTATAAGAGATAGCATACGTTTTGTTTGTAACAGTTTACAAAAAGTAACATCAGTTT